TTCTGACACATTCAAAACTACCCTCACCTAATACCATTCCCAGAAACCAATGTCCTCATTCTGTCCCCTGGCTGCCCAGGTTTCCTCAGACTTTTCCTTCTCCAATGTTCCAAAACCTTCTTTCCTCATTGGAAAATTCTCTCTCATTCCTTAACCTCATTGGAAGAAAGGCATCAGAGAGGAAATATATCTGTTAATCTAATTCACAATTAAGGTTCCAACAGCTACTAACATCTAAATATGCTACCCCTCCCAGGGGTCTTTGCTTTTTAAAGAATGACATTTAAAGACACTTGTCCTAACCCCAAAGATATAATAATCTTCGACAGTGAGATTTCAGGCCAAATCTCAGGGTAAGAGACTTCATTCTCTAGGCCAACCTTTCTCACAGATGTTTCTTATTTCTGGTTTCTAGCTGCTATTTCTGACAATCTGGACTGCTCTGATGTCATTGAAACCCCACACTTCCTGGCTGCAGTTAAGTTACTGGAGGTAAGTTCTGGCATACACTTTTACGAGAATGTGCCCACGATCCAGATCTCTGGGCTGTTGGATCCTCCAACATGTGTTTCTCTTTCCAGGCCTGCTGTTTCCCCCTTGCGCCCCACTTCTCTTATCCACCTGCGTGCACCGATTACTCTGACTTCCTGACTGTTCTAGGAATAGCCCTGGCCTTTAAGTAGCAAGAGGGAGCAAGAACTTGTGGCATTAACTTAATTTTAGCAAAACGGTGAAATTGTCAAAATTTGTCATTGATGCTCTTCCCATTTTGTTTTCCATGCCTCTCCTTTTTTTATCTGCTCGTGTCTTTCACCTTCAGACATTTCTTACTGCCCATGTTTCCACTGCTGTACCCTTACCCATTACTTCGGGTTCTAGACCTGTCCTGCCCCCACATTGAAACTTCTCCTCCTTACTACCCCTCCAACACTTTCATAGCTTTGGGAGGAGCTGTGGTATATTGGTATAATAGCAATAATAATATAGCTAGCCCTTATTAAGCACCAACTATGTGCCAATAGCTGTGCTAAGTGCTTTGCAATTATTATCTCATCAGATCCTCACAACAACCCTAGGAAGGAGGTGCTATTATTATCCCCATTTTTCAGTTGAAGAAACTGAGGCAGGCAATGTTTAAGTGACTTACCCAGGATCACACAGCTAGTAACCTGAGGCTGGATTTAAACTTAAGTCTTCCTGACTCCAAGTCCAGCAATCTATCCACTTCACCACCTAACTGCCTTAAAAAAATAGAAAAAGGGGCATCTAGGTGGTGCAGTGAATGGAGCACCGGCCCTGAAGTCAGGAGGATCTGAGTTCAAATCCAGCCTGAGACGCATAACACTTACTAGCTGCGTGTCCCTGGGCAAGTCACTTAACCCCAATTGCCTCATCAAAAAAAAAAAAAAAAAGAAAAAGAAAAAGAAAAAGAAAAAAAGAGTATAAGACTTAAAGTTACATGACCTGAGTTCTATTCCAAGTTTTACCATTTACTAGCTGTTTGACCTTGGGCAAAGCACCTAATCTCCCTGGTCCTCAATTTCCTCATCTGTAAAATGTTGCTGTTGTTGTCTTTTGTCCTTTGTTCTTGAAGAGGACCTTGACATCAGGGAGGTGATGCCATGACATACAAGTGAATTGGATTTAATTGAAGGAGGGCTGTGCTCACCAGCCTCACTTTCTCCTCCAGAGACATCTGGCTCCAGTGGCAAGATATAGATCAGGACAACTGGAAATGGCCTCTAGTTGTCCTGATCTGTAAAATGACAGGGTTGAACCAGATGGCCTTTAAGGTCCCTTCCAGTCCTAATAGTCTATGACTGGGCATATAACTTCCCTGATTTGTACGTCCCCTCTCCTCAGATTTATCTTAGGTTAAAAAGTAATAATGCTAAGGAGTTAATGTCTAATAATGTTACCATTACCAAATGATGTGTGTACTTTGGAGCAATGCATTTTATTTATTTATTTTTAACTTAAGTGTTTTTATAGGAATGTGTTCATTTTGACCCTTTCATTTCGAATTCATTTAGGTACTTTGTAACTACTCTTCTCCCTATACCAAAAACAGTTAAGCAAAACCATCTAATAATGGGCCTATGACTGACAGTACATGCCACTTCCTACCTTTGCAGTTTTCTGATTGTTACAGAAAGGAAGACACTATGCTTCAATGCTGATGGCACAGAACCAATGTTGTTTGTTTTTATTTGACACAAGTTCTGAGGCTTTCTAGAGTTTTATCTTTACGTACATATTTGTGGTCGTTATGTGCCTTGTTCCTTTGGCTCTACTTTCTTCACTTTGCATCATTTTATCCTCCCCCCTTCTCTGAATTTTTCATATTAGTCATATTTTACAGTACAATTATATTCTATTACTTCACGGTTGTGGACATTCCCAATTGTTGGGAATGTATTTTGTTTCCAGATTTTTGTTATTAGAGGTAAAGCCACTATGATCCTCTCCCTCCTCATCTTTATCTCCTGACCGCCCTGGCTTCCTACCCATTTCAGCTAAAATCTCACCTTCCACAAGAAGCCTTTCCCAGTCCCTCTTAGAGCTGGTGCCTTCCCTCTAGACAAGGAAGGCACTGGCAGTAAGCGTTTATTATCTCCAATTATCCTGTATGTATCTTGTTTGTACAGAGCTATTTCCATGCTATCTCTCACATTAAACTGTGAACTCCTTGAGAACAGGGCTTTTTGCCCTTATTTATATGCCCAGCACTTAGCACAGTGCCTGGCACACAGTAGGTGCTTAATGAATGCTTCTTGACTGATTGACTGACCTCTAACTGTGGCTCTAGATAAAAACTAAAATCCCAAACACATTGATCCCTAACCTAGCTGTGCATTCTGCTGTTGCGTGGTCCTGTGTACAAGGAAAATAAGATGAAGGAATGAGAACTCACCCCACCTATCTAATCAGTTGCCAAATTTTACAGTTTCTTTCTTTACCCATCTCTCAGTTACCTCTCCTTCTCTACTTCCACAATCCCAACTCCAGTTCAAGGCCTCATCACCATGTGCCTGGTCTCCTAAAATAGCCTTGTAATTGTTTTCCCTGCCTCAAGTCTCTCCCCACTCCAATCTGTCCTCCACTCAGCAGCCAAAGCAACTTTCCTAAAACCTCAATAAACTCCAGGGGCTTCCTACTCCTTTAGGATCAAATGTAAACTGCTCTATTTGTCATTTTAAGTTCTTTACAGCCTAGTTCCTTCCTATCTTTCTAGTCTTTGACATATTATTCTACTCCATGGTCAAGCTATTCTGGCTTATTTGCTATTCCCTACATGTAACACTTGATATCCCATATACCTCCCTTTGCACTAGCTGCCCCCTTGCCTGGAAAGCTCTTCCTTCTCACCTCCACCTTTTAGAATCCTTAAAAATTCTGCTTAGATGCTAGCTATGTGACCCTGGGCAAGTCACTTAACCCTGATTGCCTTAAAAAAAATCAGCTTAGAATCCTTTAAAATTCAGCTTAAAAACAACCACCTAGGAGGCCTTTTCTGGTCTCCTCCCCTCCCCCTTGCACACCCCGCCCCCCAACCCCTCCGCTGCCTACTTCTAGAGGCAGCTAGGTGGTGCAATGGCTAGAGTGCTTGGACGGAAGTCAGGAAAACCTGAGTTCAAATTCAACATCAGATATTTGCTAGCTGTGTGACCCTGGGAAAATCACTTAATCTCTGTCTGCTTCAGTTTCCTCAACTATAAAATAGGGATGATTAATAGCACCTACCTTCCACGGTCGTTGAAAGTCTCAAATGAGATAATATTTGTAAAGTGCTTAGGGCAGTGCCAATACATAGCAGGTGCTTAATAAATGCTTATTTCCTTGCTCTAAGGTTACTTTCTATTTTCTATGCATCTTGTCTATACCTATTTATTTATGTCATCTTCCTCATTAGAATGTAAGCACCTTAAGGGCAAGGACTATTTTTACCATTTTCTTTGAATTCCTAGCTCTTAGCACATTGCAATAAACATTTAATAAATACTTGTTGAGTGATCATTATAAAATCAGCTCTGAGTTCATGCCTACAGGTGGCTCAGTAGCCACAACTCTGTTCAAAGATAATCCTTTTTTCCCCTTAAAGAGTGATGCCCAGGGGCAGCTAGGTGGTGCAGTGGATAGAGCACCAGCCCTGAAGTCAGGAGGACCTGAGTTCAAACGCAGCCTCAGACCAAACACTTGACACTTACTAGCTGTGTGACCCTGGGCAAGTCACTTAACCCCAATTGCCTAAAACAAAAACAAAAAAAAAGAAAAGAAAAGAAAAGAAAAAAAGAATGATGCCCTGTTGCTCTGCTGGTATTTACACAGGTGAAGGCTATGGACCTCCAGACGTGTTTGACCAATCACTACATCATCGTCCGCGGGGAAGGCGTCTTCCGACCACTGAACATACTCCAGTCCAGCGACCGACGAGATGCTTTGGTCAAGGTGGAAAGATTTCATATTTCTTATCCATCCTTCTCTGGTCCTTCCCAACTTCCTCTACGGTTTCATATTGGGAATATTCAGTCCTTTTTCTCTTTTAACATATTTCATGGCATTGGAAATGACCTCTTCCGCTTTTTGTGTGTCCTTCAGGTAACTGAAAGGAGTCAGAACGGATTCAAACCATATCTCTCACTCCCTAGTGCCACATTCTTGGGTCTATTTCATACATTCATACATTCTTCCCTTGCCCTGAGCTCTTCCATTTTGACAGATCTGATCCCCACTTCATCAGAATGACTGAGAATTGTATCTGTTCTGTTATTTTTACTTCAGCAACATTCTCTTGCATAGGACCTTCCCAAATATTCCCCAGACTTTCCTTTCTCCTCCCAATATTATTTCTCATAACCTCCCCTATGTTGCTTCCATCCTTATACAACTCCATCTGTTCTCATATCCCAGCAGTATGATTAGAAATTGTCCCTCAATACATTTCACCCTAGACTTTTAATGCTGTCCTTTGATGTAAGCTCTCTCATTACTTATTTACAACATACCATGATGTACAATGTCCTAAGGTGTTCACCACTTCATATCGACATGTCTTTTAGCCGTACCTTTTTTTCATTTCTCTTTCCTTGTCATTCTCCCCTATCCCAACCCTTCTCCATATATACTTCACTACTCTCTCTCTGGCTCTTGAGGACATCTGTAATCTGACTGATCCAACCTTATCTCCCTCTACTCATAACTCTTTCTACTCTAAGTATTTGAATACACCTTCTGCTTTGGTCAAGTCAATACACTCCAAATATGCCATACTAATTCCTGGGTAGAATAGTGGATAGATGGAGTGTTGGATTTGGAGTCAGGTAAATCTGAATTTAAATCCTGCCACAGACATTTACTAACTGTGTGACCTTGAGTAAGCCACCTAACCTCTCTCAATCTTAGTTTTCTCATCTGTAAAATGTAGGTATTAATAACACCTATCTCATATAGTTGTTTAGCAATTATTATGGTTGAAATCTAGCTCAAATTCAAGGTCCAATTTGAGTCCTACCTTCTGCATTAAGCCTACCACAACTACTCCAGTCTTCATTGCCCTTAGCATTTGATTATATGAATGAATGAGTGAAAATGCATTCATTTTCCCCACCTTTTATTCATTTTTTATTCTCATTTTCAAATTCATTCTAAGTAGTGAATTTGGACCTTGTTTTAAATTGTTTCTCTTAATTCTTTTTTAACATTCATTTTTAAAATTTTTGAGTTCCAAATTCTCTCCCTCTCTATAGCCTCTCCCCCACCTATTGAGAAGGCAAACAATATTATACCCATTATTCATGTGAAATCATACAAAATATTTCCGCATTACCTATATTACAACAAAAAAGGCAAGAAAAATAAAATGAGAAAATGCTTCCATCTGCACTCAGAGTTCATCAGTTCTCTTTTTGGAGGTAGACAGTATTTTTTCATCATAAGTCCTTTGGAACTGTCATGGACCATTGTATTGATCAGAGTAGCTAAGTCTTTCACATCATCATTATAATATTCTGTTTTATGATGATAGTAACAATCCAAAGCACTTTTATGATGCCTTGAAGGCTATTTGTGGGCCAAAGATCTATGGTGTATCTCAACTATTCAGCTCTAATGGAGCCACATTGATTAGTGATAAGGGACTTGATTCTGGGGAGATGGGCCAACACTTCCACAAAGTTCTCAACAGATTGACAACAGTCAATGTTGAAGCCATTGACCTTATACCTCAGGTTGAAGTCAATCCCTCTCTAGCCAAACTTCCTAGTAAAGAAGAGGGTTTGAATGCCATTAGATTCCTCTTGTGTGGCAAAGAGTCTGGTGCTGATTCTATTTCAGCAGAGATTTATAAGGCATCGCTCACACAAAAGCTGACTGAAATCTTCTAGGTTATGTGGCAAGAAGAAGTTATGCCCCAAGAGTTCAAGGATGCCACCATTGTCCATTTCTATAAAGGAAAAGGAGATAGGTTATCCTGTAACAGTCACAGGGGAGGAGGGGTCTCTTAGGCATTGCCAACGAGATATTTGCCAGAGCCATGTTTAATAGGCTGATCTTTCACCTGGGAGATGATCATCTTGCCTGAGGGATTGTTGTTGATGACTCCTGCTCAGTGTGGGGGTGTGGGTAGCCACATCCTTCACATAATCAAAGGTTGGAGAGGCCCAGGCCTCTCTCTCTCTCACACACACACACACATACACACACCACACCCTATACCACACCACACCACACACATATCTTCCCAGTATGACTACCTTAAAAATATAAGTGTATATATTTTTTAATTAAAAATCAGTCTTCATTACTTTATAGTCAAGTTTCATCTACTGTGTACACTACACAGCACTTAGCAAAGTTCTGGATAATAATAATAATTAATAATGATAGTTGCTAGCATTATACAGTACTTTAGAATTTGTTTACAAAGCTATTTACATGTTATTATATTTGATCAGAGGTAATCAAGAAATACTGCTAATTAGCTGATTAAAGTCAAATATGTCACTCCATGATTTGCTCAGAGCATGTCAGTCTCAACTTGTACACAAGACAGATTAGAGAAAGTGACTTTATCTGACTCATCCATATTCTACTTCAATGCCTTAGTTGCTCACCACCTTATTTCCAGGGAATTTATGGGCATCTCTTCCTATGGATAGTCAAGAAGATCAATGCTGCAATCTTCAAGGAACCCTCCAAAGACCCTCAGGATGTGCGCAGGTCCATTGGCCTCCTGGACATATTTGGCTTTGAAAACTTTCATACAAATAGGTACGATGGTCCCAATTTGTTTCTCAGGAATTGGGAGAGGTGGTGAGCAGAGAAAGAGAACCAGTTGGATTAGTAGCTCTTTCCTGCATTGTTTTCCTAGTGGTCGTAGGGAGATTCTAGTCATGCCTTTCCTTCCTGAGTGGTCCTCTTGACACTGTGATCTGAAGCATATCACATCTAGAGTATAAAATTCAGTTCCAGATGCCATTATTTTGGGAAGAACATTGATAAGGTAGAGGGCAATCAGGAGGGTAAAGGGCCTTGAGCAGCAGCCAAGTGAGGACCATTTAAAGGAACTGGGGGTGTTTAACCTGGGCAAGAGAAGACTTAGTTGGGGGACGTGATAGCCGTCTTCAAGTAAATGAAGGTAATGACGTGGAAGAGGGACTAAATTTATTCTGCTTGGCCCCAGTGGTCAAACCTAGGAACAACGAGTGAAAGTTACAAAGAGGGAAATTTAGTTTTGATATGATATATGTGAGATATTATATGAATGTTTGTGATAAGCAATGTGTGTTTAAATATGTATGTGTGTATGGTATTTTTGGGGATAAAAAATATGGATGGACAGACAGTTGGATGCATGGATAGTTGCACAGGGTAGGCCATGATAACTCATCTTCTTTATGATGTCCTAACAAGAACACTCTGGCATGCTGTAGAATAATAAAAATTGGGGAAGCTTTTCTCTAGAGGAAAAACCAAAGTAACATCCTGAAAGGCAGGACTAATGATCCCACTGGGGTTGCCCCCACAGCTTTGAGCAACTGTGCATCAATTTTGCCAATGAGCATCTCCAACAATTCTTTGTCTGCCATGTCTTCAAAATGGAGCAGGAAGAGTACCATGCAGAGAACATTGCCTGGAACTACATTCATTTCAATGACAATCGACTCACTTTGGACCTACTAGCTCTCAAACCAATGAACATCATCTCATTGATGGATGAGGAGAGCAAATTCCCTAAGGTGAGTGTCCCACCTGTCTCAGTGGGATACAGCTATCAGTCACACTCAGATTTGGGATCATTCATCTTTATCACCTTCAAAAAATCACTTTTAAGTGGTCTCTGTGTGCCTAAAGTTGCAAAAGGTTTATCAAATAATTGTAGGAAGTCATTCTTCCTCCTGATATCATGGAATCATTAGTGGATTTTCACTTAAGTCTCAAAGAATTAAGTCAAATCCTGAGATGGCTTAGTGATGTATGTCTCCCAGCCCAGATGTGGTTATGACCAGCACTTTCAGAAGACAATCTGGGGTGGCTTATTAGTTGATGTGTCATATTTGTGAGGTTTGGGGGATCTGACCAAAGTGGCCATTTTCCTTTTTTGCTTAGGCTTTGGGATTGCCTTAGAAAGTAGTTAGCTCCTATTCACTAAAGCTGGACAACCACTTGTTGGGGATGTTGTAGAGGGATTCCTCTTTAGATACCACTTGGGAACAGATCTTCTCTGAATTTCCTTCAAGTTCTGATATTCTGTGAGGGCAGTAATGAAAAAAGAAGTGGGCTATGAGTCAGGAAGCTTATTGTTTTAGTATAGCTCTGTTACTGACTCATTGCATGATGTCAGATAAGTACCACCATCTCTCCGGGCCTGAGTTTTCTCATCCCTGAAATGAAAAGAGTGGAATAGAAGGTCTTTGTGATTTCTTTTAGCTTTGATATTCTATAATTCTAAATCCTAGTTTCTATTGCCCCATGGAGTTACTGAGTTCTCAGGTCACAATGAGTAGTTTAACTAATCCACTAATGATTAGTTGTCATTATCCCAATGTCCTGTATATGTGTGCTTCTTCCAGGGCACAGAGGTCACCATGTTACAAAAAATGAACCATCTCCATAGCAATAACAAAATATATGTGGCGCCCAAGAACATTCACGACATGAAATTTGGCATTGTTCATTTTGCTGGTTTGGTTCATTATAAGACCGAAGGTAAGTGTTGTCAGTCTCTTTATACTGGTAGCTGAGGTGGGGGCTAGGATGGGAAGGGAAGGGAGAGTGAGATTTGTATATTTTTCTATTCAAACAATGAGGAATGGGAGGAATGAATGAATAAACGAATGAGTAGGTGGATGAAAAAGAATTGAATAAGTACTTACTATTTCTCAGGCACTGTAATAAGTTGGAGATAAAAACATAAGCAAGCAAAATAGTCCCTGCCCTTAATTAAGGAGCTTAGGTCCTAATAGGGAGAGATAATACATTTATGGGAAGAGTAGCCAAGGAAGGAAATATCTAGGAAATCATAGGAAAGGTAAGTTGATCAACAGAACAGTCAATTGACATGGTAGTATAGTTATCCCTTCCACATCATATTTTTCCCCATCGTGGTTTTGATATATTGTGGTCGGCATAAGAAATTAGATGTGAATTTTTTGTGAGTTTTGTGGAAGCTGCAGACGACATGCAAAAGCCAGCAGAAAAAGTTTAGAAACTCAGAAATGCATAAAATATATGCATTGTATTATATAATATCAACATGTTGATCTTTTAACACCATAATAATTCAGACTTCTTCTCTGGTACAAAGAGAAGGCCAAAAATTTTATGTGGATTATCCAGATAGTGGGGGTGCTGTGCCCCTAACCCCCTCAATGTGGAAGGGATAACTATATTGTATTTGTTTAATTATTGAGCCCAGAGCAAGAGCGTGAGGTGGAAAGTAAGGGAGGGCAAAACCATGGAGGCATTACTGATTGCAACATGGTCAAGGTTAGATGGGATCTGAAGCATGGTCTGGTGCTCTGATGCCAACTAGACATAATGAGCTGGTTGAGTTTGCTATAACTCACTAGCCAACAAAGACAGCTGGACCTAAGGCTGGAGTTCCAGGATTGTCTGTGTATCATTTTGTTGGAGAAATGAGGAACTTGGGATGATTTGGATTAATTTCAATGAGATAAATGAAAAAGTGGGACAATTTCTGTACATTTATATTCTGACAGCCCTAAGGATATAGTGGTACAGAGGTTCTCCCATGTCACCCTTGTTCCAGGTTTCTGAAAGGAACATATATTAGGGTATGTTTGGGTGTTCTTAGTGCAAGGGGTATTTAAATAAAGATATACATACTTTGACCTAGCAATACTACTACTAAATCTGTACCCTAAAGAGATTAAAAAAGAAAGGGAAAGGACTTATACATATAAGAATATTTATAGCTGCTCTTGTTGTGGTGGCAAAGAATTAGAAATCAGGGGAATGTCCATCATTTGGGAAATTGCTGAACAAGCTGTGGTATATGATTAAGATGGAATACTATTGTGCTAACAAGAATTGATGAGCAGGGTGGTTTCAGAAAAACCTGGGAAGACTTACATGAACTGATGCAAAGTGAAATGAGCAAAACCAGGATAACAGTATACACAGTAACAGCAATATTGTACGATGATCAACTGTGAACGATTTAGCTTTTCTCAGCAATACAATGATTCAAGACAATTCCAAAGTACTCATGCTGAAAAATGCTACCCACCTCCAGAGAAAGAGCTGATGTATGCAGATTGAAGCATACTTTTTATTAACTTTATTTTTCTTGGGGATTTTTTGATCTGTATTTTCTTTCACAACATGACTAATATGAAAATATGTTTTGCATGACTATACCTGTATAACCTATATCAAATTACTTGCCTTCTCATTAAGGGGAGAGAGGAAGGAGAATGGATGAGAATTTAGAACTCAAAATTATAAAAAAAAAATGAAACAAAAAAAAAGGTTAACTTCTAGGGCTATATCCCAAAGAGATCATAAAAATGGGAAAAGGACCCACATGTACAAAAATATTTACAGCAGCTCTTTTTGTAGTAGCAAAGAATTGGAAATTGGGGGGATGCCCATCAATTGGGGAATGGGTGAACAAGTTGTGGCATATGAATATGATGGAATACTATTGTGCTGTAAGAAATGATGAGCAGGCAGACTTCAGAAAAACCTGGATGTACTGATGTTGAGTGAAGTGAGCAGAACCAGGAGAATGTTGTACACAGTAACAGCCATGTTGTATGATGACTAACTTTGATAGACTTAGCCCTTCTCAACAATGCAAGGATCTAAGACATCTCCAAAAGTCTCGTGATGGAAAATGCTATCCACATCCAAAGAAAGAACTATGGAGTTTGAATGCAGATCAAAACATAGTATTTGCTCTTTTTTTTCTTCTGTTTTGTTTTGTTTCCTCTTGTGGTTCCTCCTATTGGTTCTAATTCTTCCTTACAACAAGACTAATGTGAAAATATGTTTAATAGAAATGTATATATAGAACCTATATCAGATTGCATGCAGTCTTGGGGAGGGGAGAGGAGAGGGAGGGGAGAAAAATTTAAAACTCAAAATCTTATGGAAGTGATTGTTGCTAACTAAAAATAAATAATTAATTAAAAAACAAAAGTTAAAGATTGTTTTTACATGTAATTGAAAAAATATTAAAATTTTAAAAAAGAAACAGAGACATCATTAGAAATAAATGGATATGGGAATGTGGTCCATGGAAAGGAGAGAATCATGAAGTATAATCATAGGATCATAGATTTAGGACTGAAACAGATCTTGGAGGTCATTGTTCCCACCCCCTCATTTTATAGATGAGGAAACTGAGGCTAGGAGAGATTAAGTGATTTCCCCAGTCTCACAGAGTGTTTCTGAGGCAAGATTTAAACTCCAGCCTCTCTAACTCCAGGCTCAGTGTTCTGTCCACCACTCTACACTTGTAAAGGATTTATTCCACATTTGTATAGTACTTAATTTTTTCCAAAATACTTTTGCATAAATTTTCTTGATCACAATACCTTTATTGTACTTGGGAGGCAAATAAGGAAAGCATTATCACCCCCATTTTATAGATAAAGAAACTGAGCCCCCAGAGAGGTTGTGCTTATTTGATGCCACACAGCTAATTAGCAGCAGAGTTAGGACTAGAAGCCATAGCCCCACTACATTGTACTGTTTCCCTTTCTCCCATCGTATCCTCCAACCTTCACTTTTTCCTTCCCCTTACTCTCTGCCTGCTCCCTTCTTTGCCCTTCCCCTCTCCTCATCCTTATCAATGGCGTCCCCTTTTCTTCACACCTCCACCTCATCTTGCTCCTCCTCCTACCCCTTCTAGACTCTGGAGGTTAAAGAGTTTTCCCATGTCTGTTTTAGTCCATGCTTCTGTCAGTTTAACATTTAACAATAGGCTCATTATCATCTCCGGGTAGAGTTGATTTTGAATATAAAACCATACTTTGACCTGATTGAGCTGTTTCTATCCTTCTGCACAGAGAGTTTTAGATTATGGACTGACAGAGAGTGGGAATAGAGCTCTCTCTGACAGCTGGATGTATTGCTCAGGGCTTTCCACAGAAATGCTTTAGATTTGGCATTTCCAAAGGACCCCTGCCCACACATAAGCAGACCTCAAAGTAAGAATCCAATATGATAGCATAATAGTTTGATAGTCAGAAGACCTGGGCTCAAATCTTGGCTCGGTGCAATCTTATTTAAATCACTTAACATCTCTGGACCTCAGTTTCTAGTGGAAAAAGCATTGGGTTTGGAGTCAAAGGACATTGGGTCAAATCCTGGCTCTGTAATTTATGGCCAGTATTGAGCAAGTCACTTAATCTTGCTGGGCCTCAGTTTTCCTAATCTGTAAAATGCGGAATTTCGACACCTCATTTTACAGATGGTCCCTTGCGTCTTTAAATGGACCCTTCTCTAAGGTCTCTTGTATCTCTAAATGCTACGATTTACCCTTATGGTGGAGAAATCAAAAGGTGGGATGGTTGATCCAAACATAATTTAAGTGGCATAAAAGGGAGTGAAATTTGTCCAAACCTTCTCAAAAAGAAATAAAATAAGCTTTATCATACATTATATGTGCATATATAGATGAATATGTGTATATTATACATATTATATATATGTATATATACATATACATGTGTATATTGTACATATTATATATATGTATACAGATACATATATATATATACACGAAGTTTACTGATTTTTATCACCAGCTAGTACCTCCCAGACTGCCTATAATATTGATGAGGGAGATGTTTCTATTTTCCCCATTTACTATACCTCTGATCTTTCTATCTCTCTCCCTCTGCTTCATGTTTCATTCCTTCTAAATGTATCCTTACTGGGAACTCCAGTAACCTTACCCCTCACTGTTTTCCTAGTCTATCACCCCTGCTCTACCTACACTTTCTTCTCTTCAACATCTTGACCTCCTGGTTAGCCAATTTAACTATGTACTGTCCTCTGCTGTTACATCCATACTTGGCCAGTCCTCAACACTGGGGTGACTGTAGCATCCAGCTTATCTGCCCCCACTTGCATTCTGATGAAAAGAGTCATACAACTGTGTTGACTGGGTTATCTAGCCTCGGTTGAGCTCTTACTGCTCAGCAAAAGCAGCCCTTTTATTTCCACGATGGCTAATCCAAACTTTCTTTCCTTTCTCCTCGTGCCCCCTACATTACTCCAACCCCATTCCCTCTCAGCAGAGGACATTGTGTCCTGCTTTCTTGACAAAATTCAGGCCATCTAGGCTTGAGCTACCTGTTCTCTTCTATTCCCTACTTCCAAACCCCTCCCCATGGTCCTTTGTTTTCTCTTTGTTCCAGTCTAATGAAAATCTTAGTGGCCCTTCTTTTTGCCAATGCCATTCATTCCCTCTACTGGCATCCTTAATTACTCTACCCTCCCATCTCCTCTTACAGTTTATTCCCCCAATCACATTTCATTATATATACATATATATGTATGTGTGTATAATCTTTCTCTGCTCCATCCTTTGCCCTCTTTCTCTCTCTCTCTCTCACTCTGCTTTTCTCTGCCTCATTCTCTTTCTCCTTCTCTCAATCTCTTTCTTTTTCTCTCTCTCATCATCACCACCACCACCATTATCATCATCATTTTATACCTCTCCTGATAAGTACTAGAGCATAGACTCAAACTTCTAAGGAATTTGTGAATCATTTATTATGTGAATTTTTGTGGTCTAGTGATGAATTATGTCTGATTTTCTGAAGAAAAATGAGCATGTAGGGCATTTTGGCAAAGTGTTGGAGAGAAAAAGGCTAGAAGGTATAACAAGTAGGGGAAATTGGTGAATAAGATGCCACCCTCCCTCTTACTTTTCCCCTAGTTTGAATCTATGGTCATTAAGATGGGCTTATTCTCCTGACAGGTTTCTTGGAGAAGAATCGTGATGTTCTGAGTACTGATATCATCAAACTGGTATATTCATCTCAAAATAAGTTTCTGAACCAAATTTTCCAGTTGGAACCTTCCCAGATCAAGCTACGCCATGGGACCATCCGTCTGTCTAGGTCTTCAGACTCACTCTCTAAGGTAAGTTTGCTGTTTGGAGGTTATGATTGGCCCAGGAGCTAAGATCACTTTTTATTACATTCCCAACTCCCATACTAGGTCTTGAGGGTGTTGGGATGAGGTTATGCTTCTGTTTTGCAATCTGTATAATACTTGCCTTTACCAGCTATTGTGAGACTCCAGACAAGGTAATACATTTAAATGCAAAAGACAGTGGTAAAGTTCCATACATATGTAAAGGCATAACATTTCTGTGGCTGTGGAGGTGGGAGTATATGTCATTATGTATATGTTTCTATGGGTAAAACATAATTGGGCATGGGCTTGTCTGGGGATGTGGATATCCAGGTGAATGCACTGCAGCTGTCTGCTCTCTCCACCCCCACCCCCCAGAACATCATGTGTTGGGTAATAATGGCCTCAGTTGGTCCCAAATTAACACAGCTGTTTGAAGTCATAAGAATGTCACCTGATGAAAAAGTTCCAGCGCCTGGAAAGCAGAGAATGCTGGGCAGGGAAGAACAAGGGACTTCTGTTGGCAATATTGAGGAGTCTCAGGCAAGGCCTCATCCTCTGTTCCTATTGCCCCCAGGACTTTTAAATGGGACCCGAGGGCTCACTGTGCATAGAACTCCCTGGGAACTGAGAGAGAAAATGTAACCCCCCTCCCACCCCCCCAGGTAACCCCTCATTGAAAATTGCTTCCACCTGGGACAGGTAGGTGGCACAGTGGATAGAGCACTGACCCTGGAGTCAGGAGGACCTGAGTTGAAATCCGACCTCAGACACATAACACTTACTAGCTGTGTGACCCTGGACAAGTCACTTAACCCCATTGCCTAGCAAAACAAAAAACAAAACAAAACAAAAGAAAATTGCCTACACCTCCCCCATTCAGCTCAATTCACCAGTTACTGAGCACATGGAGGCCTGTGCTGGGCAATGCAGGGATTACAAAATATAATGAGATATGGTCTGTCCTCAAGGAGCTTGCAGTCTAGTTGTGTAGACTAGGCAAATACATGTTAAATAGTTAAAGAACCACTCAAGAGCAAGGATTTAGCGTGGAAGTGTGTGGCCAGCAGTCTGGCTAAATAGGGAGAAGGGATGATCTGGTCTGGAGAGACTCTTCAAGGAGGCAGGGTATGAGAGGAATCTTTTGTATGAAAAACCAGTGTGACTCCAAACTCAAGAGGTGCTGGGGTCTTGGGTCATGATTCTTCCACTAAGACGGGGCCTTAACCTTGTTTGTCATTGGCCCCCTGGGCAGCCTAGTGAAGCCTTTCTCATGATCCTTTCTCAGAATCATGTTTTTAAACGTGGGAAAAATACATAGGATTATAAGAGAAACCACTTATATTAAAATACAAGGTGTTCCAGAAGCCCAAGACTTTTGGAACATCTTGTATAGTTCTCAAAACGTGAAAAAGAAGAAGAATGAGGAGGAGGAGGAGGAGGAGAAGGAGGAGAAGGAGAAGAAGTTCTTCACAGATCTCAAGTTAAGACCCCTTCATAGGGATCCTTTCACCTAGCCTTGGTGCCGTGGGTCCCCTCTTATGCAGAGTAAAAGCAGCCAAAGTTTCTACACCTGTCATGAGATACCCTTTGTGTCTGTGTCTGGCAGATGTTAAGACATATGTAGATGGAAGGTTCCAAGGTTAGGTTTCATTATTTCCCAGATGGTGTGAATTGAGGCAAGAAGAGAAACACTCACCAAAACCAGCTCCTATGTGAGATAAAAATTGATTCCAGGAATAAATAGTTAATTAGTCTCTTCTCCTGCCAGTAGTCAGAACTGGTCCCAAATCATTTTAGGGTAGTTAGAATCTATACAAGGGCTTCTGTCTGTGGTGTGGCCTGAAAGCGTGAGATGTGGAATAGTCAGGCTGGTTTTGAATCCTTACTTTGCTACCTGTCTATCATCTGCTAGACCCTGGATGAGTCTAACTCTGACTTTTCTGGGCTTCGGTTCCAAGTTTCATATGAGGATACGTAAAATGAGAGTGTTGGGCTAGAAATCCTTTTTTTAGCTCTAAATCTTAGGACATTTTTTTAAAAAAAGCTTTCAGGAAGGATACATTTCCTTTGAATTCCTTGTACTAGAAATCTTACCTTATTGTAGGTGTTTGGGATTGTATATTTAGAGCTAGGAAGGACCTTAGAGAAGTCAGATTACCCAACTCCCCCATTTTACAGATGAGGAAACTGAGACCAGTGAGGCTAAAGGTAACGGAGTGGCAAATGGCAGAATAAAACCTTGAACCCCGGTCCTCTGACAAAATCTAGCACTCTGCCTCTCACTGGCAAGCTTAGAATCTTCACGCTGAAGCTGAAGCCCTTTTCCTCTGGTTTCATTCTCAGCAGTTTTACAGGCTATCAATCCTTGCAGAGCAAATCTCCACAAGGAGACATTTTCTTTCTAGAGGATGTTAACAAACCACGTGTTCACTATTAGAGCTATAACTAGAAATTTTTTTTTTCCTATCAAGCAAACAATTGAATTGGAGGCATAGAAGATGGTCTTACCACAGGGGTCCTCTGTTAGGAGAGGGGGCTGTCCAAGCCATTCTCACTGAGGGGTGATCCCATGATAGAATTTAGAAGGTGAAAGTATTTTGGGGTGAAGATAAACTTCCCAATGCATCTCAGATTTGTGACTTTAAGGCCTGTAACCTCAGTTTCTTCATATGTAAAATGGAGTGGTGGTGGAGGGGAGTAAACTAGATGGCGTCTGAGCTCTAGATTGAGCTGACAAACGTTGCCCTACTCTATGGTTTCACCTCAGATAGACCCAGCAAGCTCTCATCAAAAAGGTGCCTCGGTCAAATTGCTTTGGGGAACTCATCAGTTCACTCCTCAGAAACTCCACTGTGAACTCAAAGGTACTGGCCCTGGTTTTAAGGCATCAGCCACAAGAGGGCACTATTGTTTCACCGTGAGAACAAAGGAGTCAGACTGACTCTAGAAAACAGCACCTAGAAATTCTGTCTAGCGAGGCCAGACAGCAACATTGTGAGCTGGAAAATTGTCTTCAGCACTCCTCATTTGCTGGGGTTCTTTTTTAAGCCTTTTTTAGCCCATTTTTAGCACCATCACAGTCACCCAATACTCTCACACTTTCTTCGCAGAAAGCAAAGGTCTTATAAACTAATTCACCTTCATAGATTATTATTCAATATTTCAATATTAGTAATAAAAATAACTCACATTTCTGTAATTTTGCCAACACCTCAAACTCTACATGTCTAAAACTGGGCTCATTATCTTCTCCCAATCTCGCACAACTCACCCCTCCCTCCCTTCCCTTTTTTCCTTCTTTTCCCTCTCCCTTCCTCCCTTCCTCCCTCCCTCTTTTCCTTTCCTTTCCTTTCCTTTCCTTTCCTTTCCTTTCCTTTCCTTTCCTTTCCTTTCCTTTCCTTTCCTTTCCTTTCCTTTCCTTTCCTTTCCTTTCCTTTCCTTTCC